GAGTTCATAATGATTATTTGTCCTGGCTTCACTCCTGAAACAGGAATGGGTAGCAGCAAATATCTGAATCTTTATACACTGCCTTTTAATGTTTCCTATTCTACAAAGAAAAGGAAAACATGAAACAGCAAGCATGTCTGGTATTTCAGAGTAGCTGAATTTAGCATAGCTGTTTGGGCATATATGATGCCGTAGTAGCCCCAGCCTCACTTTACAGTTCAGAAATTGGTGCTTCTTTTCCATGCATCATCAAATGAAAACATGTGATTTTTTCCTCTATTTCTTTCTCTCATGACACACAGACATAGGATAGCAGTGGGCAGAAATACTAGAATCCTGTGCGTGTTTGTATAAAGACTATGTCCTTGCTCCAATCTGGCACCCTTTGGATGTGCTGGGCATGCAATAATCGGAATTTCCAGTTAGCATTTCCAGTGGTTATGGAACTTGGGAATTCTAGAATTACAATCCCCAGCTACTCAGAAGATGGTAGAATGGAGAAGACTTATGTATAATGAAAAATTATGTATCATAGTAATAGTAATACAAACACTGGATTGTTTTTAAACACTTGAAAGTCCAAATACATTTTAATTTCCTGTTTATTAAATGGAACATATTCCTAAGTAAATGTGAATACAAATAATGCATTACTGAATTAATAGATTTTTTGGATAAAAATTTATAGGAATAATCCATTTAAATCGTAAATTCTTGTTAAATATCATTTTGTTCTCTTTACTTCTTTCTTCCCTATAATGGAGGAACAGCTTTCGCATTTCTTGCAAACATGTTTTTAATTCCACCCCCACAATTCAATCACTTTAAAAAAAAATCACTTAAGAATTTCATTATGTACTTAAGTGCCATTAATTTTGCTGGGACTCAAGGACACCTAACTTTCTTGGCATGGCATCCATTGTGTTAATTGTAAATTATTCTACTATAGGTCCATTACATCTGGCAGATAGCTACTCTCAGTGCTTTCTCTTTGACAGAGCAATCCATCTGTCTTGGCAGTCATCAATTTATCATGCTCCATTTTGATAGCTATCTATCCTTTCACTCATCATCTTTATGAGGTTGTCTGACATAAGACTTTCTTGATGCATTAAGAAATAAATGAATGACTGCATGGGCTGGCAAAGTGTAGATGAGAGAATAAATGACAGGTTTGTACTGGTATGGTTTTCCCCCACTCTGTAGTTTATCACTTGTCCAAATGACATCAAATCAAAATACCATGTTTTAAAAACTCTAATAGTATAGAAAATGATAGTGTATCCCATTCTATGATAAACTAGATAGAGGGGCTGTCGTGCGCCAAAAAACAGTTTGGAAGGAGTATGCTTTGGACTTTACCCAAGCATGTGACCTCTCTGCTTATATGGCATGTATTTTTTTCAGCCTTTTATATGAACTTGAAAAAAGATGAGGCAGCTTTAATGAATGGAATTAAAAAGCCCATTTTTAATGCAATGCTTATGGAAGCCTAAAAGCATATATATGATTGGCTTGATGCTGTGCTTATTTCTGCATAAAGTCAAAGCAGATCTTATGAATTATTTTTATTTTAGTACAGCCCTACTAAATAGTACAAAATGATTTATGACACTCTGTATCAATGCCCATCTTACTCTGATGCTTACTAAAAATGTTTGAGATCTCTGGTTTTCTTTAGATTGTGCTTCTCTTGTGTGATTGTCTTTTAACAAAGCAACATCATCAACTTATCTTCACCATCATCATCATCATCACCACCATCACCACTGACAATGGCAAAAACATCAATTCCAGAACTCTTAAGACAGTAGACATGTAATTATCTTTCAGCATGCTTATCTCAGGCTTAGGAAGTAAAGAAACAAAAAAGCAAACAAAAAAGTGAAACTATAGAGAATGGGGAAAAACTACAAAACAACAGCAGATTTTCAAGCAAATGAGCTTCATCACAGCATTGGTCATGCACTGGTTTAACAAAAGCAAAGTCACTGTTGTCTTTAGTGTTAAAGGGACTTTATCTTTTTGAGATTAGCAAGAGAAAATTATCCACTTTTTAGGTTAAATATGTTTTTATTTTAAAAATCTATTCTCATAAACACAGATCACATTAATGAGTAAACAATCACTGTTTACTATTCTGCCACCTGAATTATAAAACATAGTGCTAGCAGAATGATTTAAGTCATTTGTACACCCATCAAACTAAATACAATTTAGCAACCAAATGTGACTATTGACCCTGGAAGTTATTAACTCCCTGGTTAAGGTGTTCAGCTAGAAACTAGGAGACCATGAGTTCTAGTCCAGCTTAGATACAAAGTCAGTTGGGTAACCTTGGGCCAGTCACTTTCTTTCAGCCCTAAGAAGGAGGCAATGGCAAACCATTTTTGGAAAAACCTTGCCAAGAAATCAGCAAGAACCTGTCCTTGCAGTCTCCAAGAATCAGACCTGATTGAACAGAAGAATATAGGACAGTCTTGTTTTCAGTTTAGGACTGAAAGTAGCATTTATAATTATGCTCTAATCTAAGTTTCTCATCCAAGCCATCTGGTGGTATGTTTTTGATTTTCCTATGGTCTTAACTAGCAATACCATTCATGTTTGGTAATCTATCAGCAATTTAAAATTTCCTAAAATAGGACAAATTGGTTTAGGGACACAATCTGAACAGTTTGAAATGCATTCACAATGATTCAGTCTATTCTTCTTTATTTGTTTTTGTAAATTTCTTCAAACCATTTATCCTCAGCCATGGGTTCCTTTATTTTTCCATATCTTTCTCTTATTTATGCATTTAAAGGGCTGCCATTCCTTTAACACATTTTATCATCTTTTTCATATTTAGAGATTAATATATACAATATGTATGTATTGTTATTTTTATGCTTAGACAACCATTAAAAAATTATCTTATCAGCGGGGAAATAAACAACATGTTTACTAAATGTATGCTCATGAAATCAAAAGCAAATCTGAAATTAAAATCTGAAAACAAATCTGAAATTCAAAACCAATTCTTAAAACCCCCATCTGATTTTGTCACTCAATTCTTTTTTTTCTAGCAGAGACACTTTAAAAATGTAAGCAAAAGTTGGTCCAGGATTTCCTAAATTATAAAACTGGATCTGATATGTTCTATTTTATATCATACCCAAGCTGAGGAAAAAGAATCAGCTTTCTAACATAGCATATGATGCTTAAACAAAATTTTCCTTTAACAAAATAAGAATATCTTATTCAAAAGAGCCAGATTCAAAAAGGCTGATGACAGAAACTATGTGCATTATGAAATATGTGAAGTTTATCTTCAGGGATCTCCAACCTTGGCAACTTTGAGACTTGTGGACTTTAATTCCCAAAATTCCTCAGCCAGCCATACTGGCAGAAGAAATCTGGGAAGTGAAGTCCACAAGTTTTAAAGTTGCCAAGTTTGGAGACCCCTGTTTAACTGGTTGGTACGATTATCTGGAGGTCATTTTTCAACACTTGGCAAAACGTCAGGAACAACTTTCAGTATGGTATCCTATAAACAAATGTATATAGAGGTAAAAATATCTGTGTACAAAAAAATATCTGTTGACAGACTCTATTGGTTGAAATCATTATTAAGTTAACTGAAATGGGATAGTTGGACTTAAAAATGGTTAACTTCCCCTAGAATACTCTTATTGTAAACTGTGTTTATTTTAATGAGGTTTGAACTATCTCCCACGAGAAATATTTCCAATCACCTTTCATTGGGAAATGAGCAGCTGTAGAATTCTCATTAAACCATTGCAATATATTTGTGACCATGTATAAATTGCTTCTTCTGGAGACTATATATTACTTTGGGAAATCAATGGATTTGTGAACTGTTAAACAGAAAAGAAGCATACTTGTCCTACATTTCTAAAATACATATACAAAGTATATAAATAATTTCAATCCAAAATGTCCACATGGAAAATATACTGCATAAATATACATATAGATGTATATTTTTTGCAGATGGATTCATCTTGTGTTTAGATTAAGATATGCATTAAAAGCTCCAGTCCATACAACTTTATTCAGAAGAAAAATCAGTTGAGTTGAATGACACCTACCCTTAGTAAGTATAAGATATGTGTAGAGTACAACTAAGGATGAGAATAACTAGTCTTAAAATACAAATCAATTACCTGTGCTACACCACTAGCATTCTCATTAATGCATCAATAAAAAAATGTATCCGCAGACCTATTCTGTTAATCCAAAGAGGAATCTGTCACTGCCTCATGCAGCAAAATTCCATGGCACGATTTTCTATATTATGTAGACCATTATTTCTCAACTTTGGCAACTTTAACACGGCTGGCTATAGAATTATGGGAATTGAAATTCATACATTTTAAAGTTGCAAAATTGAAAAACACAGTTTGTTTGGATTCTGAAAAATATCCTCCATTTTCTCACTTTTCCCTATAGAAATGAACATTTAAATGCTATCCCCTGGATCCAAGGGTTGGACAAATAAATACCCATTTCATTTGTTTCATTAAAATGAAGAGGGAGTCATAACTGTAACATTATTTAATAGGGAATGGGATATCTGAAAATTATATTTGAATAATTAAGTTTCTAAACAGGTTTAAGACAACTTTGATGATACATAATAGATGTAGATTATATATATTATTTAAAAATAGTTCATGCAGTGTTGTATAGCCATAATACATGTTGTTTCATTTTCCTTTTTGGTTTTTTTTAAATGGTGTCTTAGCTTTTGCTTTTTTCTTTGCCTTTTTTTATAGTAAACATTATAAAATTTCGTCCCTTTAACTTGGTTTTAATAGCAATGTATTATAGCATGATTTATCAACATATGGCAGGTGGAGGTTGACAAAAATTATAATGAAAATTAAAAGTCATTTATGCAGCAGGCGATTCAAGTTTAAGAAACATTTATTTGCAGGCTTTAAAAATGAGGGTTTAGAATCAAATGGATTTAAAATGAAAGTTTTAACAATGGTTACCTTTTTCCTGCAGCCATTCCTCTACGGGTCGGTTATATTTGAAGGGGATTTTCTGTTTTACCAATTGGAACGCAGTATCAGTGTTTCCTTTAAAGTTTAAAAAACAGCTTAAAAACAATCTGAAAAGTCAATGAAATTGTTAAAAAATAAAACATCCTAAGTTACTTTGATTTATTCATTTATTTATGAAGGAATTTAAACAAACATGAAGATATGTAGTTAGTCCTCCTTTAAAATGGTAGAGAATAGCACACTCTCATTTCTTGGAATTCTAGAAGAACTTTCCCATGTTCCAAGCATGTCTGATATGAAGAGTTACCTTTAACACGGAAATCCTTTCAATCTAGCATATCAGTTTTAGGAATCATGCTGGCTCACTTTTCTGCACCTCCATATGCTTTTACATGATATAAATAGGAATCTGGAATTGTGAGAATGTCAATTCACTGCCCACTTCTTGCATTCATAGAAAATGTTTCATGGAGGTAACATAAGTTACAGAATCATAGAATCATGGGATTGGAAGGGCCTGGAGATCTTTGAGTCCAATCTCTTGCCCATTTTTTCTAAGCAACCTTTCTAAACAAATGTCTAGGCAAATTTTGCACCTACAGCCTTAGAAGGCAGGCTGTTCCATTCCTTTAAAAAATCAGGGAATGCCTTCTTATTTTGAGTTCTTTCTGTAAGATCCTCATCAGTGATTCTTGTCCTACACTCAGGCATCATGGGTAATAAATCCACACCCTTTTCCTTTTGACAGGCCTTCAAATATTGGAAGATATCTATAATCCCTCCATTTAGCTTTCTCTTCAGTAGGGCTCTCCATTCCTTTAACTGTTTTCCATAGGATTAGCCTACAATACCTTTCCTATCTATGTTGTCACAACATTCTTCTTTTCAGTGCTTTTTTTGTAAAAAAAAAAAAAAAAAAGGTTCCATCCAAAAAAGGTGCCGGAACTCCGTTCTGGGCGTTCTATGACAAAAAAAGCCCTGCTTCTTCTATTGAAATGCAAGACTGTACTACTGGTTTTTTTGGCAACTGAAGAAAACTGCTGGCTCAGACTTAAGCTATGATCTGCTAGGATGTCCAGATTTTTTTTTCACTCCTTCTACTGAATCACGTACTACCTATCCTGACCTGTATAGTTGTTGTTTTCTTTTTCCAGATAAGTGTAGAACCCTACATTATATTAAACTGCATATTTTTGAATATGGTCCTATATTCACATCTATCAAGATCCTTCTGAATTCTGTACCTGTTTTTTTTCTGGTGTTAGCAATTCCTCATAACCCTTGCCTCTATTCAAGCTTTATGTTTACCCGCCAATCAGAAAAATTATCTTTATTATCTTCTCATCCAAAACATGCCATTCCCTTGGTCTACTAAGTCTCTTTGTAAAATAATACAATTTGACTATTACAATCTATTTTAAACAACTCCTTACTGGCTTCTTGTAGTACCTTGTTCCTTTCTAAATGTTTACAAATTCCACTACTTGATGATCTTTCTAGATTTTCACAGGTATTAATGTCAAACTGATTGGTCTGTAGTTTTCTGATCCTTTTTACTGTTTTCCCTTTTTTAAAGACTAAAACAACATCAGTTCTTTTCCAGTTTTCTGGTGCTTCCCATGTACTATCGGACAATTCAAAGATTACAATCAAAAATACATTGCTTTGTAACAGACCACTTCAACTTTATGCCCTTCAGATATGTTGGGAACAGTACGCTCAGAATTCTCTCAAATGAGTTGATATTATAACCTCCAGAATACTAAAATCTCCAGATAAAATAGGACTACCATTTTCAGGAGGGAATTATAGTCCAGTGGATCTAGTGAGTTGTACCTTTGATGAAAGGTAATATGCACCTATACAATTTCCAGCTTCCCACTGCAAACTATTATAGCTAAGAAACAAAAACTTCATTCTGCAAGGTATATTAGAAGGTGTAGTAGTATTGCTGAAGATGATTGTAACAGCAGAGATGTTTAAGTGATGTGACTTATTTTTCTCCAAGCTTTCCTATATAAAATAGCTTGTTTTCAGAAGGCTGTGCATAGTATGGCTAGTTAAAGCTTTAGCTTTTCCAGAAACAAAAAGTCTCTATATCTTCCCTCACCCCGCCTCATCCTTAATTGATCATGTCCTCTACAGTTTAGCTTAAGAATGCTGTATCTCCCCTTTAGAATTGCTTTGCCAAGACCAGACACATGGAAGGTCAGCTAGGATGAATAGGCTGGTTCTATCTCACATACATTCTGATAGCTATTAGGCAAGAAGTACAAACAACACATACAGCATAGCCCAGCATCTCTAGAAAGGAGGATAGATAGATATAAACCAAGGACAATATCTTAATTGAAATGTCCTTGGCAATTATTTAAATGTTTCAGGTTCATTCAAACTGCTGACAAGTTGTATCACTGAACCATCTCTTGGTGCTGTGTTATTTATATCTCCTATATTTTGTAAAAGTATATGCATGACAAATGCTCTAGGTATTTTGAGCCTCAGTATATACCTATTCAGGAAAAACATTTTACACTAGCTGCAACAATCTGGGGAATTCTCTACAGCTCCCTTTCATGAAGATGAAGGCCTCTCAGCTATTGAAGTGATATGAAATTCTGTCCTGTATTTACAGTCCTTTATTGAATATTGTCATGTCTTTTTAATTGCCTTATATGCAGATATTTTTCTATGTCTTTTTTTCTATGCTGTCAAAGTCATTCTGAAGCTTTTTCTCTTAGTTTTCTGCTTCCACATTCACCTTTAGCAAAACCAAAAAAGGTTTAGGAATGCTAGTGAAATACTTGCTGAATATGAGCAAGCAATGTGATGCAACATTTCAAATGGGTAATGAGAACCTGTATTACATTAATAAAACTATTGAGTCTAGCTTATATGAGGTAACAGTTCCAATTATACTCTGGCTGGTTAGACTGTACTTCAAATACAGCATCCAGTTCTGAACATTGAACTTAAAAGTGACAGAGAGAAGTTCAAGCAGGTTCAAAGGATTTCTACTTGTATAATAAGGGTTTTAGAAACTTCATCCTAAGGTAAATGGTTAAAGAATTGGACATACTGTATTTAGTCTGCAAAGAAGGAGACTATGGGGAGATATAAGAGTTGTTTACTGATATCTAAAAAGACATCATGTGCATGACAGAATGCTCCTGTTCTTTGTTGAATCCAAGGGCAGGACACGAGCAGACTAGTTGCAATCAAAAGGAAGGAAATTGGGGCTGAATATTAGGAAGGATTTCCTGGTGGTAAGAGCTCTCAAGCAAAAGAACACTGATTAGAACAGAGGTAAATTACCTCTTCTTGGAAGCTTTCATATTGACGCTGAAGGGTCATCTGTCAAGGATGGTTTAGTATGAACAAGAGCTTTAAGAACATGACCAATAAGAGCTCTTCTAGCTCATACATTCTATTATTCTATAAAGCAAAGAAGAAGATGGCATCCCTCCGTGTACAGAAGCCATTTGCTGCAACTAAACTTGTTTTTACTTCAGCACTTGAAATAGGACAATTGTCTCCACCACATGAAAGGCAGCAAATTAATTTAGGATTTACAAGGCATTCTTTATGACACATCAGTTATTTGTTGTCTACATTTTGTCACATTGCTGTATTTGTTAACTCTATTACTTAGTTATTCTGACTAACTATTGGGTGGTCCTGCAAATCCTAAAATTAACTATAATTTAGAAATCAGTGATAAAAAACAAGCTACTAGAAGATGAAGAAAGAAATTCCTGAATGGAAATAAATATAGCAGATCAATGAACAAGTAAATGTACAATTGTATTAACGTTACTTAGATTTAATTAAATTAAACTTTGCACAGCAAGCAATATATCTTCTTCAAATCCAGGAAATGAACTGCTAATCTCTACCATCTCTTTCAAAATGTTGATTTTAAATTTAAGTTTATATCTTTATTATGAAAGTCATTTTATTTATACACAGTAAGATAAGGGGAAACTGAAGGATATCTGGAAATTCAACAAACTTTAAATTGTAACATTAGAATCTTTTCATATTCCTTTTTATTTATTTATTTTTTCATTTATGTCAACCATTCACAAAACTATAAAAACATGTGCATGAGAATGTATTCATCTTTATATTTCATGGACAAGAGTGGATTAAAGGACATGTTGCTTACAATTACACACATGCAATATAAAGTAAAAAAGGACTATAATTACAAAATTACAAAAATCAAATTCATCAAACTGTATTGTTTTTAGGAGGCAGCTTAGATTAAAATAACATAGACTTCATCAGAAACCAATAATGTTTTTACTTTACACAAACTATATAATTATAATTTAAAAATTCATTGGATAGTTAACCTGGAATCTTAAGAAAAAGACATTCATAATATTGGCCCAAAAATTCCATGAACAACACTAAAAATAAGCATTCAGTTATTTATATTTTATATTTCATAATCTGATTCTTAGCAGAGAAAAGATAAATGCTACACTTTTCATTTTTTACTTTTGCAACTTATGGCCAAAGATACTATTAGTGGCTTTTTCCATGTGGTAATGCAAATTCAAGCATTGTAATTGCTTATTTTCAAAACCTTATTGTATCTGCTTACATTATCAGTGCAAAATTACAGAAAAATAGAGATAATAAAAAAGAAAGAATCACTCAGAGGTTTTTTTTGGGGGGGGGAATCACTTTGACAACTTTAATGCTTCTAAAAAAGGAAGTTATACATATATAACTATGCATTGTGTGTAAGAGAAAAAATCCTAACCAAATGGCATTTTATAAGGATAAACAATAAGTGTTACTTCCTTTCTTCCATTCTATAAAACTACACAAAAGAGAGCTTATACACACACACACACACACACACACACATTTCTGGTTAATTTAAATATGTAACTATGCCTTATGGTTCTTACTGATGTGTCGCTTCATTTATCTCATTAAATATTTCACAAACAAGCTAGACTTCATTATACAAACAACAAATAGCTTTTTTCATCATTTTTCCCTTAAAACTCAGGCAAATTTCCATCCAAATAAAAGTTGTTCCATTAAATCCATTCCTA